GGTCCACACAGTGTTTTAAGAGACAATAAAAAGTATTTTTGAAAAAAATAAGTAAATCCTAAATCTAAATGTGTAAATCTAAATGTAAAAGTTAAATCTTAAATGTTCAATTTAATGTTGAAGTTTACATTTAAGAAAAGAAAAAATTGTATAGGTCTTCTGGACGGGTTCTTCTCTAATGAAACGTTTCGTCTCTCAAACTGAAGAAGTCTCTTGGAGGAGAGACGAAACGTTTCATTAGAGAAGAACCCGTCCAGAGGACCTATACATTTTTTTTATTTTTGATTTTTACCTGGATTACTGAGATGCATCAGGACATTTACATTTAAGGATTTATTAATGAAATGCAGCTTTTGCTATTGGTGCTCGGCTCTTGTTGTGACATCATCATCCTGAGACAATAGCCAACGCTAACGCTACTAACACACTGCTAAAAGTTCTCTACAAGACAAATTCACAGGGCTCTCAAGTCTCACACATTGAGCGTGACACACGCATCTGAGGGTCTCACGTCACACTCCCACTTTCTCATGCTGAGAACTGACAAATGCCAAAAACTCAACTCTGGTCTAGTTTATCATTACAAAAATACAAAAATTGATATAAATCCAGTCCACATTTTCACCACAACCCGTGGTGTTACACACAGGGACATGCCAGGTTGTTATCCAGTCCGTATTTTCACACCAACCTTCTCTCTGCCTGTAAACAGCAGCTCTGTGGAGCGAGAGAAGACGGAGAAGCCTGGTGTGCTCCAGTGAAGTATTAAAAATTCAGTTTCTGATGGCACAAGTTTCTTCCCATAAGCTGACCCCATCCCACCCCCCACACTCGATCCCTCACTACTCCCTACCTCTCACAGACGAGTTCAACTTTATCTATTTATCAAAATATTAAAAGGTGAATAGTTACCATTTATTGAAAAGGAAAACAAGAGGAAATGAGTTATAATGAGTTATAATGAGTTTTAATTATTCAAATATACTTGTGTTGGCGAGGCGGCTTATCGGAGCTGCGGCCGCAAGGTTGTCGGTGCCTGTCGCGGCGGCAACCCTCGAACCCGTTGGTGGACACCTTCGGTGAGGGATGCTGTCAAGCTGAAGAAGGAGTCCTATCGGGCCTTTCTGGCCTACGGGACTCCAGAAGCAGCTGATGGGTACCGGCAGGGCATGCGGCTCGGGTGGTCGCTGAGGCAAAAACCCGGGCGTGGGAGGAGTTTGGAGAGACCATGGAGAAAGACTTCTGCATGGCTTCGAGGCGATTCTGGTCCACCATCCGGCGTCTCAGGAGGGGGGAAGCAGTGCGGCACCAACACTGTTTATGGTGGGGATGGTGTACTGC